TAAACGTAGTTCGTAATGGATACTACAGCGTACGACAGGAAATTGTCTGTGTCTTCCGTATTTAGATGATTTTAGCGACATAATTCAACGGAATTGTTTCAAATTTGATATTTGAAGTTCGTAATGGTAGTATCCATTACGACAGAAAATTGTCTGTGCAGGTCCACGTCTTCATATAGCCCCCATATAATTGTACCTCCCTATATTCGGTATTTTAATGATTAAAGGGACATTTTCACCAGAATTGTTTCAAATTTAGTAAACGTAGTTAGTAATGGAAACTACAGTCTATGACAGAAAGTCGTCTGTGCAGGTTCACGTCTTCGTATAGCCCCCATATAAGGGTACCTCCCAATATTCGGTATTTTGATTTTATCGCCATTATATATAGTAATGGCATTTGAATATAGTAATGGCTTATGACAAAGTTACCTATGCATGTCCATGTCGTCGTATTGACCCTAATATAACGGCTATATTCGGTATTTCGAAGAATTTAACAGAATTTTTAACCGATTTCATTGTTATTGAGAATTGCCAATTCGTTCCAAATGGTGCAGGGTATTTAAAGTTGGACCCTGAGGAACTTACAGTTTTTTTACTTGTATTATATATATTTTTTTTTTGCATTTCAAACTCTTATATTTTCTTTTCAACTGTAGTGACTTTTAAGTTAAAAAACACAAATTTTTAAGCGGTTGATTTCCATTTACTTAACCAACAGGTAATGTGCCTGCGGCACAAATTCGTTTTAAATATTTGTTTCATGAATATTTTAGCTTTTTCCATCATAATATGTAATACATAATGACCATTTGTCTTTCTCGTCCACAAATAAATCCTTTCCGGTTTATTGAGTTAATATATATACAAACTGTTAAAGATTCTCAAAAAAGGAACATCTTTAAAATTTCATAGTACATTGTCTCAATGTCACAATTTCACTAATACACCAAAAATACACCGTTTGTATACCCTCCACCATAGTATGGAGGGTATATTAAGTTTGTCATTCCGTTTGTAACACCTAGAAATATACATTTGAAACCCAACAAAGTATATATTCTTGATCAGCATAAAATTCCATGTCGATTTAGCGATGTCCATCCGTCTGTGGAAATCACTCTAGCCTCCGAACGAATTGAAGTAGATTGCTAAAATTTTACTCAAATGTATATTATGTCTGCAGGACTTTTGGTATTGAAAATGGCCCATGTCGGAACACGTTTTGGTACCCCCCGATACTCGGTATTTTGTAGACTTTAGCGACAATATTCATCAGATTTTATTAAAATTTGGTATTTGATGTTTGTAATGGATGCTTCAGCCTATGATAGGAGATTGTCTGTGCAGGTCCAGGTCTTCGTATGGCCCCTATATAAGCGTACCTCCCTATATTGGGTATTTTATTGATTTTAGGGACATTTTTCACTAAAATTGTTTCAAATTCGATATTTGAAGTTCGTATTGGATACTACAGCCTAAGACAGAAAATTGTCTGTGTCTTCCGTATTTAGATGATTTTAGCGACATAATACACCGGAATTGTTTCAAGCTTGGTATTTGATGCTCATAAGGGTACCTCCCGATCTTTCTTATTTAGATGATTTTAGCGACATTATTCACCGGAATTGTTTTAAGTTTGGTATTTGAAGTTCACAATGAATACTACAGCCTAAGACAGAAAATTGTCTGCGCAGGTCCACGTCTTCGTATGGTTCCCGTATAACGTTACCTCTAGATATTCGGTATTTTAATGACTTTGGCTAAATTATTAACCGAATTTTTTTTTCGCATTTGAATATTGTAATATTGTAATGGCTTATGACAAAGTTACCTATAGTTACCTATATTAAGTTTGTCATCCCGTTTGTAACACCTCGAAATATACATTTGAGACCCAGAAAAGTATATAATCTTGATCAGCATAAAATTCTATGTCGATTTAGCGATGTCCATCTGTCTGTCCGTCTGAGGAAATCGCATTAAGGTAAAATTTTACTCAAATGAATGTTATGCTGCAGGACTTTTGGTATTAAAAATGGACATGTAGGTCCACGTTTTGGTATAGCTCCCATATAACAGTACCTCCCGATATTCACTATTTTAAAGATTTTAGCGACAATATTCATCAGAATTTTTTCAAATTTGGTACTTGAAGTTCGCAATGAATACTACAGCCCAAGGCAAAAATTGTCTGTGCAGGTCCACGCCTTCGTATAGCCCCCATATAACGGTACCTCTCGATATTCGGTACATTAAAGATTTTAGCGAATTTATTCACCTGTTTCAACTTTAATATTTAAAGTTCGATAGAAGATAGAAAATTATCTGTGCAGGTTCACGTCTTCGTAGAGTCCCATAAAACGGTACCTCCCTATATTCGGTATTTTGGTGATTTTAGCGAATTTATTCACCGGAATTGTTTCAAAATTGGTATTTAAAGTTGGTAGTTGATACTACAGCCTAAGACAGAAAATTGTCTGGGCAGGTCCACGTCTTCGTAGAGCCCCCATAAAACGGTACATCCCGATATTTGGTATTTTAATGACTTTATGAACATTTTAACCAGAATTGTTTCAAATTTCGCATTTAAAGTTCGTAATGGATACTAAGATAGAAAAATATCTCTGCAGGTCCACGCCTTCGTATAGCCCCATATAACAGTACCTCCCGATATTCGGTATTTTGAAGATTTTAGCGAATTTATTCACCGGAATTGTTTCAAATTTGGTATTTAAAGTTTGTAGAGGATACTACAGCTTAAGAGAGGAAAATTGTCTGGGCAGGTCCACACCTTCATATAGCCCCCATATAAGGGTACCTCCCGATATTCGGTATTTTAATGATTTTAGGGACATTTTTCACCAGAATTGTTTCAAATTTGATATTTGAAGTTCGTAATGGATATTATAGCCTGCGACAGAAAATTGTCTGTGCAGGTCCACGTTTTCGTATAGCCCCCATATAAGGGTACCTCCCTATATTCTGTATTTTGATTTTATCGCCATTATAACCGACTTTTTTTAAGTTTCGCATTAGAATAAAGTAATGGCTTATGACAAAGTTACATATGCAAGTCCATGCCGTCGTATTGACCCTAATATAAAATGCTACATTCGGTATTTCTAAGATTTTAACAGAATTTTTAAGGGATTTTATGGTTTTTGAGAATTGTCAAATTCGTTCCAAATGTTGTAGGATGTTCAAAGTTCAGCCCGGCCGAACTTTCTATTTGAACGGCATTTTTGATGGATTGGTTTTTTTTTTGTATATTTTCAAATTCCTTCCGAATGGTGGAGGGTAAATAATTTCAATCCCTTATTTATTTCCAACCTAGAAGTTTTTCTCCCCTTTTTCCCTTCAATATTTAGCCACATTTCCCATCCTACGCTAATAATTCATACAAACCCAAACATAAATTCATACCTACATGATATTATGCTCCAGAAATATTGTCGCTTTTAAAAAATCCAATAACCAAAATTCATAACACTTAATAATATTAAATTCTGTACAGGGTTGCCCATATTCGACGGACCTTTGGGCCCATTCCAATCGACGAGGCTTGTCCGCAGGCAACATTCTTTGCGTCAATTGAATTTTGTACGGGAACAAATGCAAATCAATGCGAATAACCCGTTGTAAAGTGGACCGAGCCATGCCGATCTGCTGAGAACGGCTTTTTTATTGGTATTGTATTGGTTCATGGTAAAAATCTGCTTGGACTGACGCTTCAAACGCGGTATGTCACTAAGCGATGTGACATCTCTGTCAAAAGTTATGGCGTTGCCAGATGGGTCCGTCGAATATGGGCAACCCTGTATATCTTTATTCATTTCAAACTCTCATATTTTCTTTTCTCCTGTAGTGACTTTTGAGTTAAAAACACAACAACCTTTTTTATCGGTTGATTTGCAATTATCTATCCACCAGTTAATGTGCTCGCGACACAAAATTCGTTTTCAATATTTTTTTATGAATATTTTATCTTTTTCCACCATAATATGTAATACGTAATGACCATTTGTCTTTCCCGTAAACAAATAAATCTTTTCCGATTTATTGAGGTAATATATAAACATATTGTTAAAGATTCTCAAAAATTCACATCTTTAAATTTTATAGTATTTTGTCTCAATCTCACAATTTTACACATACACCAAAAATACACCGGTTTTATACCCTCCACCATAGTATGGAGGGTATATTAAGTTTGTCATTCAGTTTGTAACACCCAGATATATACATTTTAAACCCAATAAAGTATATATATTCTTGATCAGCATACAATTATATGCCAATTTAGCGATGTCCATCCGTCTGTGGAAATCGCTCTAGCTTCCAAACGAATTGAAGTAAAATTTTACTGGAGTGTATATTACGTCTGCAGGACTTTTGGTATTGAAAATGGGCCATGTTGGTCCATGGTTTTTATAGCCCGCATATAACGGTACCTCCCGATATTTGGTATTTTGAAGATTTTAGCGACAATATTCATCAGAATTTATTCAAAGTTGGTATTTGAAGTTCGCAATGAATACTACAGTCTAAGACAGAAAATTGTCTGTGCAGGTCCACGCCTTGTTATAGCCCCCATATAACGGTACCTCCCGATATTCGGCATTTTGATGACTTTAGCTACATTATTCACCGATTTTTTTCTAAGTTTCACATATGAATATTGTAATGGTATTATGACAAAAGCTACCTATGCCGGTTCATGTCGTCGTACTGACCTAAATATAACGGCAGCATACGGTATTTCCAAGATTTTAACAGAATTTTTAACAGATTTTATTGTTTTCGAGAATTGCCAAATTCGTTTCAAATGGTGGAGGGTTTTCAAAGTTCCGCCCGACCGAACTTACAGCTTTTTTACTTGTTGTTATTTACATTCGAACTATTTCATATGTTGAATTGATTTAAAAGTAATTACATGATAAACGATATGTTTAAGTATTTTGTATGTATAAATACTTGTAATGGTTTGTGTTTAATTTAGATTGGTAATTATTTGTTTGTAACGTTAACAATGGGTTAACGCATAATTAATTTGTAAATGATTAACCTCGTTTAGATCTGTCAACATAAATGTAAACAGATTTCAACGAGTGGCGAATGGCGCCAAAGCCTCCACCTTCCTTCATGTTTTGATCGTTGGTTTCACACTCGTCTCTTCTATCGATCGATACGAAGTCGCGCTCCCCCGCTATTGTGCAAATCAGGTAATCTGTCTTACCAATTATTATTATTTATTATTATTATTAATAAATACGGCCTTTGCCATAATTCTTAAAACTAAAACCCCCCTATTGTGTTTTTATTCTATTTTGTTTGGTTGAGCTTTGCATCTTTCCCCGCATTGGCGCAAACATTGGTCCATTCGTACCGGATTACGAACGAGCTGTTGGTAAAAGAAGTAATCGTTTTCTTCTTTTTTTTTTCTAATTGCAAAGCATATCATCATCATCACCATCTATACAGTCCACCACATCATCTCCTTAACATCATCATCGTGTTTCTATCAAAAACAATCAGGTACGTACAGTGAAAAAAGTGCCGGTGAATTTAAATAAATAATTTTCTTGAAGAGAAAAGAAAAAAAACAAATTGTGTAAAAACAACAACAATCGCGTCGTTGATATTCCTTGTGGCCGTCATACAACGCGTCGCTTACCCCGTCCCCTCCGTCTAGTTTGCAAATATTGTTTTGCCGACGGCAAATTGAAAATAAAGAAAAATCAAAATAATTGAAGAAAAAGTGTATTTTTTGGTATCTTTGTTGAAAATAAAATATTGTTGTGGGGTATCATTTTAATGTGCATAAAATTCCCCATCGATTGGTATAATTGAAATTTTAAAATTGTTAAATTTTTTGCAAAATTGTATTTTTAATATTTAGAAAATTATTCACAAATCACCCCCATAAAATACACTTACTTCAATTACGTTGGTTTGTTTGTTGTTGTTGCGCGTTAGCGGTCATCATTTGTGCTTAGTCGGTCAGCCGCTTTACACACACACGCATACATACATACGTTTGGTATTGTCTGTTGTGTTACAGGTGACCCTCGATAAACGCAACTTAACGTATTTTACAGGTGAACCTCGATAAACGGAACCAACATAAAATATTAAAATTTTTCAAATTTTGTTTTTGATTATTATTGAACGATAATTGGGTGTTAGAAAACGACGTTTTTGAAAAATTAATAACGCGTACACCCTACGTTCGGTCAATACGACTTTTTTGAATAAAAAGTGTTAAAATTGATTTTTTTCGTTTGGAATTTCAAAATTTTAATTACTTTTGGAGATTTTAAATAAAATTTTTATTTTTTAAAATTTATTTTTTGAGAATACGCTACATTTGGTAGTTTGATTGCCTAAATAGTAGGTTAACTGTGGAAATAAAAATAATAAAATCTCAATATTTTCGGTAGAAAATAATAAAAAATTGAATATTTTGAATTGTTTGTGCGCGAAAATACGGTTTTTTTTGAAAACTTACACAATTTAACGAATTTTTTATTATTTATTGATATTTTTTGGATATATATTTGAAATTTTTATTATTTATTTAAACATTTTCACATATTTTTCATTGTATATTTGCATTTGGTTGCTAAATATCTCATCGGAGATTACAATTTTGGTGATTTTAGACCGGTTTTTTGATATTTCACTATTGTGTGAGAGGTTCAAGGCATTTATTTCTCGGAAAATTTCGATTTCTTTGGCCCTATAGTGCGGTTTTGTTAGATTTTCGGAAGCTTTTCGGTATTTTTCTTGAACTTTGGAAAAACTCGGTTGATTTTTTGAAACTTTTGGAGTTTTTGTATAAACTTTTGTGTTTTCTTCGTATATTGTGCGAAGAAGAATCAGTAATTCGTGGATTTTGTATAAATTATCTGAGCAAATCGTGCTTTAGTCGTTCCCTTCTTGCTTTTTGTAGTACAGATTTCGGGAAATTTATTCGCAATGTCATTCACCCCAATTGATATGTTCACTAGAACTTCGGATGCGGTCATCCAGTTTAATGCTCGTTTCAATACGATGCGTGATGACCAGCTCGATATTCATGCGCTACAGTCTCATCTTAGTGCATTAGAAAAACTTTGGACGCAAGCACAGGACAAATTTGAAAAGTGCTGTGACTATATGATGTCGTCAGTAGAGACGACGAAAGAAGTTATCGATGCGGTTGATCAGAAATACAATTCGTCATTTCAAATCTATGTCGACTGCCAGTCCGCAATTAATAGAAAGCTAGGGCAATTCAAAAATATCGTACTTCCTCTATTAATGGCAGTCTTTGTGGTTCGGTTGCCTCGTTGATAGAAACGCCGGGCGAGACTTCAGCTAAGTCGCCCATACAAAACTCGCAAGCTACGGGCAACAATTTGAGTACTTCGACTCATGCTTCCCGCGATCATTCGCAGATACAAACTCCGCTTTCCTCTATTGTGAGAAATAATAGTGCCAGTTTTAGAACTACAGAGGAAGTTTCTCATTTGGATTGTGTCCATAACCTTGCCCTACCGCCGTGCGATACGGACATATTTGAAGGTGATTTCCACTCATGGCCAACATTTAGGGATTTGTTTACGGCTATATATATTGTTAATGGTCGTCTTACCGACGTTGAAAAACTTTGTCATCTGGTTAGAAAGACTTCTGGTGAAGCTCGCGAGATTGTATCGAAGTTCCCCTTAATTAATCGTAGTTTCGAGCTCGCGTGGAAGGCTCTAGTTGAAACTTATGATAACCCTCGGCTTCTGGTTCATAACCAATTGAAAGTTTTGTTTGATATTCCGGTCCTCTATAGTGAGACTAGTTCGGGATTAAAGTCGATCCAACGTGGTATCAATGGATGCCTGTCTTCGATGTCCGTGTATGATGTCAATACGGAAAATTGGGATCCGATATTAGTATTTCTGTGTCTCCAGAGATTGCCAAAAATTACTCAGACTCTTTGGGAGCAGAGTGTTAAGGATAAATCTTCTCTTTCGTCCTGGAAGGACTTGGATGCCTTCCTCACTGAGCGCATACGTACGCTCATGTGCCTCCATGATATGCGTGCTACAGATCAGTCTAAGCGGTCAAATAATAGTAAAGTTCAAGCGCATCATTCAAATATCAGAATTCCAGAGCCACCGCGTTCTCCCCGCGCTTCGAAAGGTTCAAATTGTTTAATTTGTCAAAATCAACGTCATAAATTGTATGACTGTCCCCGCTTTAAGAGTTTCACACCCGCTGATCGATACAAAGTAATGAAACGTCATCATCTTTGTATCAACTGTCTTAGGAACGATCATGAAGTTAAGAATTGTGATAGCAAACGTCGGTGTTCGAAGTGTAACAAGTCGCACCATACGTTGTTGCATCGGGATGATATTACCTCTAGTAATTCAAATCGAACTTCCACTGTTACTAGCAATGCCCCCAGAAATTCGAGTGCTACGCCTTCGACTGTCCCCCCTAATTCAGAAAATTGCGCGCCCGGCACATCCGCCGGTTTCTTGCCCCGACAAGTATTTCACGCCGCGCAGAACAAGGCTGTACTCTTAGGTACCGCAATGGTGAATATTGTTCATCTAGGTGTTTCATTTCCTGCCAGGGCGTTAATAGATCCTGCTTCCGAGTCCTCTTTCATTTCAAGGAGACTCCAAACTCGTTTGAAGCTTCCTGCGCGTTCTACGAATGCTGTAATTTCGGGAGTTAGTTGTTCACTCTCGGCCACTGCTAATAAAGCTTGTCGTATACAAATTAGCAGTCCTTTCGACCCTACGCTGAAATTGGAAACCAACGTTTTAGTTTTGCGTGCCATTTCTGGAAATCTTCCCTCGTTTGTGGTTAATTCCGACTTAAGGTCACAAATTCCCGATCTTCGCTTGGCAGATGTTAACCTTTTTGAATCTCGTCCCGTCGATCTGCTGTTAGGTTCTGATCTTTATCCAAAAATATTGTTAGATGGTTGTCGTCCCATTTTGTCTGGAGCATTGCTTGCTCAAAATACTGTATTTGGTTGGCTTGTTACGGGTCCTATCCCAGCCACACAAGTTCGAACATTTGCCACTACTGTCGATGTAGCAAAAGAAGACAAAATCCAACAGACCCTTTTGCGATTCTGGGAAATCGAAGAGCCTCCTAAACGCAAAATATTATCTCCATCGGACCGTTTTTGTGAGGAGAATTACGTCCGGACTACTCGTAGGGACTCAGAGGGTAGGTATATAGTTACGCTGCCACTTAAATCTGAGAATAGCGCTATCGGGTATTTGGGAGATTCTCGCGCGAACGTCCTCAAACAATATTATCGGAATGAGAATTCTTTATTGAAAAAGCCTGAATTAAAACTAGTTTACGACCAGGTATTATCGGAATATTTGGAACTTGACCACATGAGGCCGGTACCCGCAAATACTTCTATGGATGTCCTTTCGTGTTATCTACCACATCACCCCGTCATAAACCTAGCAAAACAGACCACGAAACTTAGAGTAGTGTTTAATGCCTCAAATAAAACGTCGAATGGGCAGAGTCTTAACGACATATTGCACGTAGGCCCAACGTTACAGCAAGATTTAGTTCTTTTGATCCTCCGTTGGCGTATCTTCAAATTCGTGTTTAACTCGGACATTACTCAAATGTATAGGCAAGTTCGTGTAGATTCAAAGCATTCGCCCCTTCAGAGAATTTTGTATCGGAATTCAACAACAAAACGGGTCCTAGACTACGAACTACAGACAGTGACGTTCGGTGTAAATTGTGCACCATATTTAGCGATTAGAACGCTTCTTCAACTGGCCGATGATACTGAGTCAGAGTTTCCCCTCGCGGCGCATATATTGCGAAAATGTATGTACGTTGATGACGTTTTGGCAGGAGCTCACGACATCGAGACTGCATTGGCAGCTAGGGACCAGTTGATTAGGGCACTATCGTCGGCAAAGTTCGAGCTGCGAAAATGGACAGCGAATAATAGAGCTATTTTGGATCGTTTCCCCCCTGAGCATTTGGTAGATGCTCAGCTTTTATCGTTTGTAGAAGCTAGTAGTTCTAAACCCCTGGGTATTAGGTGGAATGCGCGTTTAGATTGTTTTTTCTTCGAAGTGAGTCCTATTGTCAATAAACACTTCACTAAAAGGGAAGTTCTTTCGGCAATCGCGAAATTGTTTGACCCTGTCGGTTGGTTGGCCCCTGTAATTGTTAGGGCGAAAATGATAATGCAGAAGATTTGGCTGGACAACATTGGTTGGGATGATCAACTTCTGGCAGCTACTGAGGCTGAATGGAGAAGTTTTGTCGAAACATATCCGCATGTTAACTCGATTAGGATACCTAGATGGGTACAATATGTTCCAGGATTTTCTGTTGAGCTTCATGTCTTTTCCGATGCCTCGGAAAAGGCATACGCGGGGGTAGTATATATACGTGTCGAGTCCCCCGATGGAAAAATCTTCGTTAATTTGCTGTCGTGCAAAACGAAAGTTGCCCCTTTGAAATCAATTTCGCTTCCTCGCTTGGAACTTTGTGGAGCAGTTTTAGCATCAGACCTATTGAAAACTATTGTGCGGGAAATAGATCTGGAATTTAATCAAATTTATTGTTGGACAGATTCGACTATAGTTCTTGCCTGGTTGAAGAGAACCCCCTCTACTTGGACGACCTTTGTAGCCAATAGGGTGTGTCGAATCCAAGAAAATGTTGGCAATTATAATTGGTACCATGTTAAATCTGAAGATAATCCTGCTGATTTAGGAAGTCGAGGATTGTCTCCGATAGAATTGTCAGCCTCCCCCCTATGGTGGAACGGTCCTAGTTGGCTAGGTAAAACTAAATCGGAATGGTCTATTCGTGATCTGGCTCCGATTAGTACTGAAATGGAAATGCGACCCGTTAAATGTCACTTTGCTTTCTTTCCGTCGACATTTAAAGAGATTTTGGAAGACTTTTCTTGTTTGCGTAGAGCTCTTCACTTCATTGTATACGCGTTTCGATTTATTCGTCAAACACATCCCCGGTATAGAAACCATTACTACTATCCCACTAGACGCATTTCCTCGGCAGAGATTATTGACGCACATAAGTATTGTGCAATTACGGCTCAAAAAATATATTTCGTCAGCGATTATAAGAATCTGTTAGACAAGAAGGCGTTAGATAGTAAGAGTTTGTTGGCTCCTCTCAATCCTTTCCTAGATGACAATGGTGTCATGCGAATGAATGGTAGACTGGTAAATTCGCCCACACTTGCACCTTCGGAACGTAATCCTATAATTGTCCCCTATAGGAGTGCCTTTGCTCTACGGTTGGTAGAATATACCCACCAAAAATCTGTTCATGGTGATATCCAGTTAATGATGCGAACTTTGAGGTTGGAATATTGGATTCCGCGTATGAAAAGTTTGGTTCGGCTGGTTGTTCGTCGCTGTAAAGTGTGTTTTCTGTTGAAGAAACGTGCTTGCAGTCAATTTATGGCTGCCCTTCCCCCTGAGAGAACAACTCTTAATCGACCTTTTACAAACACTGGTGTGGATTTCGCAGGTCCGTTTGATGTAAAATCGTATCTAGGTCGGTCTTGTAAAATAACAAAGGGCTATGTATGTGTCGTTGTATGTTTCTCTACAAAGGCAATTCATTTGGAAGCAGTGTCCGATTTTTCGACTGCTAATTTTATGGCTGCGTTACATAGATTTATTGCTCGACGTGGTTGTCCCCATTCCATTTTTTCGGATAATGGAACAAATTTTGTTGGAGCATCGCGTGATATTCAAAGAAATTTTAAAGATTTCCTCCAAAAAAGCGCTGACTCCGCCTCCTCGTCTTTATCAGACCAGGGACTATCATGGCATTTTATACCTGCTGGTGCCCCTCACATGGGAGGGTTATGGGAAGCTGGAGTCAAGAGCTTCAAGTTACATTTTCGGAAGCAATCTCGAAATTTAAAATTCACGTTTGAAGAATTAGCCACGGTATTGGCTAGGATCGAAGCTTGTCTTAATTCTCGGCCGTTGTGTCCAATGTCGGATAATCCAGGAGAAATCGTTGCATTGACGCCAGGTCACTTCTTGATTGGTGCCCCCTTGTTAGCCCCGCCTGAACCTCTCATCACAGAGCAACCATTAAGTCTAATTAATCGGTTTAGGAAAGTTCAGGCCCTTGCCCACCAGTTTAGTTTAAGGTGGAAAGATGAATATCTCAAGCAGTTGCATATGAGATATAAATGGAAATTTCCCCAAAGAGAAATGGCGATTGGCGATCTAGTCGTTGTTCGTCATGATCAGCTTCCCCCAACGTCGTGGAAATTAGGGCGTATAGAAAATGTTTTTCCGGGCACCGACGGTCATGTTAGAGTCGCGGACGTTCGAACGGAAAACGGCGTTGTAAGACGGCCCATTACCAAGTTGGTCGTTTTGACCGACCACACTCCCGCAAACGAATAATATTGTTCTCTTCTCATTATATAGTATGTCGGTGAAAATCTATTCGGAAGAAGAACTTTTGAATGTTGATGACGGTTTTGATTACAATGAACCTCGGCCCACCGATCCCCAAGCTGGAATGTCGTCAGCTGCAGTGGAAGCAGCCCTTGTTGAGCCGATCGCGGCTGTAAAAATATCCGAACGTGGGTCCGAGTCCGATAAAGCGGATTCATCTGCGGCCCTCGCTGAACCGATGCAAACCGAGTCCGAATCCATATCAACGGATTCATCTGCGGCTCCGGTTTTTGATTCACCCCCCAAAAATGATACATTACAAACCGAGTCCGGATCTTCGGGTCCATCTGCGGCTCCGGTTGCCACACCTCATTTGGAGGAGTCGGAAAATAATTTAAGGTCCGAAACCCATAAGGTTTCATCTGCGGCCTCACATAAATGTCGCCTTTGTGATCGCATGCACCCGCTGGATAGATGTAGTGACTTCCGGGTTATGAATGTTGACATGCGACGTCGCATTGTCCTAAAATACTTTTTTGAATAAAAAGTGTTAAAATTGATTTTTTTCGTTTGGAATTTCAAAATTTTAATTACTTTTGGAGATTTTAAATAAAATTTTTATTTTTTAAAATTTATTTTTTGAGAATACGCTACATTTGGTAGTTTGATTGCCTAAATAGTAGGTTAACTGTGGAAATAAAAATAATAAAATCTCAATATTTTCGGTAGAAAATAATAAAAAATTGAATATTTTGAATTGTTTGTGCGCGAAAATACGGTTTTTTTTGAAAACTTACACAATTTAACGAATTTTTTATTATTTATTGATATTTTTTGGATATATATTTGAAATTTTTATTATTTATTTAAACATTTTCACATATTTTTCATTGTATATTTGCATTTGGTTGCTAAATATCTCATCGGAGATTACAATTTTGGTGATTTTAGACCGGTTTTTTGATATTTCACTATTGTGTGAGAGGTTCAAGGCATTTATTTCTCGGAAAATTTCGATTTCTTTGGCCCTATAGTGCGGTTTTGTTAGATTTTCGGAAGCTTTTCGGTATTTTTCTTGAACTTTGGAAAAACTCGGTTGATTTTTTGAAACTTTTGGAGTTTTTGTATAAACTTTTGTGTTTTCTTCGTATATTGTGCGAAGAAGAATCAGTAATTCGTGGATTTTGTATAAATTATCTGAGCAAATCGTGCTTTAGTCGTTCCCTTCTTGCTTTTTGTAGTACAGATTTCGGGAAATTTATTCGCAATGTCATTCACCCCAATTGATATGTTCACTAGAACTTCGGATGCGGTCATCCAGTTTAATGCTCGTTTCAATACGATGCGTGATGACCAGCTCGATATTCATGCGCTACAGTCTCATCTTAGTGCATTAGAAAAACTTTGGACGCAAGCACAGGACAAATTTGAAAAGTGCTGTGACTATATGATGTCGTCAGTAGAGACGACGAAAGAAGTTATCGATGCGGTTGATCAGAAATACAATTCGTCATTTCAAATCTATGTCGACTGCCAGTCCGCAATTAATAGAAAGCTAGGGCAATTCAAAAAATATCGTACTTCCTCTATTAATGGCAGTCTTTGTGGTTCGGTTGCCTCGTTGATAGAAACGCCGGGCGAGACTTCAGCTAAGTCGCCCATACAAAACTCGCAAGCTACGGGCAACAATTTGAGTACTTCGACTCATGCTTCCCGCGATCATTCGCAGATACAAACTCCGCTTTCCTCTATTGTGAGAAATAATAGTGCCAGTTTTAGAACTACAGAGGAAGTTTCTCATTTGGATTGTGTCCATAACCTTGCCCTACCGCCGTGCGATACGGACATATTTGAAGGTGATTTCCACTCATGGCCAACATTTAGGGATTTGTTTACGGCTATATATATTGTTAATGGTCGTCTTACCGACGTTGAAAAACTTTGTCATCTGGTTAGAAAGACTTCTGGTGAAGCTCGCGAGATTGTATCGAAGTTCCCCTTAATTAATCGTAGTTTCGAGCTCGCGTGGAAGGCTCTAGTTGAAACTTATGATAACCCTCGGCTTCTGGTTCATAACCAATTGAAAGTTTTGTTTGATATTCCGGTCCTCTATAGTGAGACTAGTTCGGGATTAAAGTCGATCCAACGTGGTATCAATGGATGCCTGTCTTCGATGTCCGTGTATGATGTCAATACGGAAAATTGGGATCCGATATTAGTATTTCTGTGTCTCCAGAGATTGCCAAAAATTACTCAGACTCTTTGGGAGCAGAGTGTTAAGGATAAATCTTCTCTTTCGTCCTGGAAGGACTTGGATGCCTTCCTCACTGAGCGCATACGTACGCTCATGTGCCTCCATGATATGCGTGCTACAGATCAGTCTAAGCGGTCAAATAATAGTAAAGTTCAAGCGCATCATTCAAATATCAGAATTCCAGAGCCACCGCGTTCTCCCCGCGCTTCGAAAGGTTCAAATTGTTTAATTTGTCAAAATCAACGTCATAAATTGTATGACTGTCCCCGCTTTAAGAGTTTCACACCCGCTGATCGATACAAAGTAATGAAACGTCATCATCTTTGTATCAACTGTCTTAGGAACGATCTTGAAGTTAAGAATTGTGATAGCAAACGTCGGTGTTCGAAGTGTAACAAGTCGCACCATACGTTGTTGCATCGGGATGATATTACCTCTAGTAATTCAAATCGAACTTCCACTGTTACTAGCAATGCCCCCAGAAATTCGAGTGCTACGCCTTCGACTGTCCCCCCTAATTCAGAAAATTGCGCGCCCGGCACATCCGCCGGTTTCTTGCCCCGACAAGTATTTCACGCCGCGCAGAACAAGGCTGTACTCTTAGGTACCGCAATGGTGAATATTGTTCATCTAGGTGTTTCATTTCCTGCCAGGGCGTTAATAGATCCTGCTTCCGAGTCCTCTTTCATTTCAAGGAGACTCCAAACTCGTTTGAAGCTTCCTGCGCGTTCTACGAATGCTGTAATTTCGGGAGTTAGTTGTTCACTCTCGGCCACTGCTAATAAAGCTTGTCGTATACAAATTAGCAGTCCTTTCGACCCTACGCTGAAATTGGAAACCAACGTTTTAGTTTTGCGTGCCATTTCTGGAAATCTTCCCTCGTTTGTGGTTAATTCCGACTTAAGGTCACAAATTCCCGATCTTCGCTTGGCAGATGTTAACCTTTTTGAATCTCGTCCCGTCGATCTGCTGTTAGGTTCTGATCTTTATCCAAAAATATTGTTAGATGGTTGTCGTCCCATTTTGTCTGGAGCATTGCTTGCTCAAAATACTGTATTTGGTTGGCTTGTTACGGGTCCTATCCCAGCCACACAAGTTCGAACATTTGCCACTACTGTCGATGTAGCAAAAGAAGACAAAATCCAACAGACCCTTTTGCGATTCTGGGAAATCGAAGAGCCTCCTAAACGCAAAATATTATCTCCATCGGACCGTTTTTGTGAGGAGAATTACGTCCGGACTACTCGTAGGGACTCAGAGGGTAGGTATATAGTTACGCTGCCACTTAAATCTGAGAATAGCGCTATCGGGTATTTGGGAGATTCTCGCGCGAACGTCCTCAAACAATATTATCGGAATGAGAATTCTTTATTGAAAAAGCCTGAATTAAAACTAGTTTACGACCAGGTATTATCGGAATATTTGGAACTTGACCACATGAAGCCGGGACCCGCAAATACTTCTATGGATGTCCTTTCGTGTTATCTACCACATCACCCCGTCATAAACCTAGCAAAACAGACCACGAAACTTAGAGTAGTGTTTAATGCCTCAAATAAAACGTCGAATGGGCAGAGTCTTAACGACATATTGCACGTAGGCCCAACGTTACAGCAAGATTTAGTTCTTTTGATCCTCCGTTGGCGTATCTTCAAATTCGTGTTTAACTCGGACATTACTCAAATGTATAGGCAAGTTCGTGTAGATTCAAAGCATTCGCCCCTTCAGAGAATTTTGTATCGGAATTCAACAACAAAACGGGTCCTAGACTACGAACTACAGACAGTGACGTTCGGTGTAAATTGTGCACCATATTTAGCGATTAGAACGCTTCTTCAACTGGCCGATGATACTGAGTCAGAGTTTCCCCTCGCGGCGCATATATTGCGAAAATGTATGTACGTTGATGACGTTTTGGCAGGAGCTCACGACATCGAGACTGCATTGGCAGCTAGGGACCAGTTGATTAGGGCACTATCGTCGGCAAAGTTCGAGCTGCGAAAATGAACAGCGAATAATAGAGCTATTTTGGATCGTTTCCCCCCTGAGCATTTGGTAGATGCTCAGCTTTTATCGTTTGTAGAAGCTAGTAGTTCTAAACCCCTGGGTATTAGGTGGAATGCGCGTTTAGATTGTTTTTTCTTCGAAGTGAGTCCTATTGTCAATAAACACTTCACTAAAAGGGAAGTTCTTTCGGCAATCGCGAAATTGTTTGACCCTGTCGGTTGGTTGGCCCCTGTAATTGTTAGGGCGAAAATGATAATGCAGAAGATTTGGCTGGACAACATTGGTTGGGATGATCAACTTCTGGCAGCTACTGAGGCTGAATGGAGAAGTTTTGTCGAAACATATCCGCATGTTAACTCGATTAGGATACCTAGATGGGTTCAATATGTTCCAGGATTTTCTGTTGAGCTTCATGTCTTTTCCGATGCCTCGGAAAAGGCATACGCGGGGGTAGTATATATACGTGTCGAGTCCCCCGATGGAAAAATCTTCGTTAATTTGCTGTCGTGCAAAACGAAAGTTGCCCCTTTGAAATCAATTTCGCTTCCTCGCTTGGAACTTTGTGGAGCAGTTTTAGCATCAGACCTATTGAAAACTATTGTGCGGGAAATAGATCTGGAATTTAATCAAATTTATTGTTGGACAGATTCGACTATAGTTCTTGCCTGGTTGAAGAGAACCCCCTCTACTTGGACGACCTTTGTAGCCAATAGGGTGTGTCGAATCCAAGAAAATGTTGGCAATTATAATTGGTACCATGTTAAATCTGAAGATAATCCTGCTGATTTAGGAAGTCGAGGATTGTCTCCGATAGAATTGTCAGCCTCCCCCCTATGGTGGAACGGTCCTAGTTGGCTAGGTAAAACTAAATCGGAATGGTCTATTCGTGATCTGGCTCCGATTAGTACTGAAATGGAAATGCGACCCGTTAAATGTCACTTTGCTTTCTTTCCGTCGACATTTAAAGAGATTTTGGAAGACTTTTCTTGTTTGCGTAGAGCTCTTCACTTCATTGTATACGCGTTTCGATTTATTCGTCAAACACATCCCCGGTATAGAAACCATTACTACTATCCCACTAGACGCATTTCCTCGGCAGAGATTATTGACGCACATAAGTATTGTGCAATTACGGCTCAAAAAATATATTTCGTCAGCGATTATAAGAATCTGTTAGACAAGAAGGCGTTAGATAGTAAGAGTTTGTTGGCTCCTCTCAATCCTTTCCTAGATGACAATGGTGTCATGCGAATGAATGGTAGACTGGTAAATTCGCCCACACT